GGACGACCACGAATATCCAACCCCTACAGGAGCTACCCACGGTCACACGGAAGTGGAAGCGGAGTATTATGAAGACATTAATCAGGCTGACGACTCAACCTAGTGGGATTATATGGAGGGATTTATGTTTGTAGAACTCATCGAGGAATTATATCACCTCATGCCTGTACTCCAACCTCCTGAGAAAATTCATCACCTGAGATGCCGGAAGATGGGGGATGTCATGCTCCTACATCCTCTCAACACATCCACCAGACATTACCTTCGCCAAGTTATGCAAGCATGGTAGTAGACCAGATGTCTGAAAATCTACTCAAGCTTAGACATGAAGAATGACTAACCTTACTGCTGCCATTGAAACGGAAGTTATATAAGTCGCATGATGCTCCACTTGCAGATTATCAAAGTTTGGATCACTTGCGGATTATCCAAGTTTGGATGAAGATTTATTTAAGCTAGTACCCAACCTTAGTATTAATGTCATGTTACCTGCTTCGCGGATTAAGGATCTGTCATCAGTTTCCAGATACTCAATGGACATTGGTGCGAGTATCAACTGGTTTGTCGCCGAAATCAGACACATCATTCCACCATTACAGACATGTTATGAAGGCATAACTGGAGACATGCCTATGACTATCAGGACTGATCAAGTCGGACTCATCCACAGCCTACTAGACACTAAAGTAAGAATGCAGGAAGACTTACTCTCCACCCAAGTCTGGATGTCTTCACAACTATTATGGCTACAGCGTCAACAACTTCTAGTTCAGATTCATTCTAAAGCTGTTTATAACCAAACAAAGAGGTTGATAATGTCACAACCGATATCTGCTCCCATGACATTCAGTGGGAAATTGGGACATGTAATAGACGAAGTCAGACAAGAAACAACGGAACGATGCCAAGCCTAGCTGCCAAGGCTCATGGATCTTCCCACCCTCAGAAGCGTTCTTGGGACCAGAAAGACTTGTCATATAAACAGCCTCATAAGAAGAAGTTTGTCCCCTCCGGGTAGGATTTATTCCAACCCAGTCTGAGTACGATTCTCAGGAATCTTTTTGGCAGCCAGACTTAAAGAAACGAGGATCCTATCGCCGTGGAAGATCTGGAGGCAAAGGCAAACGCAGATTCTGACTACCCTGCCAGCCACTCCGACGTTATAGACCCTTACGATTGGTTATGTCTATGGACTGCGATTTACGCTTACCGTAATGCCGACTCCGGAACCAGTGGCAGGGGCCTTCTGTCATTCGCTAAAAATTGGACGCAAGTTACGTCCGACTGCTGGATTCTAGACGTCGTGGCTCACGGATACAAACTGCACTTCAAGAAACAAGACTCAAGCCGTCGGACGCAGATTTCATCTAGGGTGAGCCAATCTAGTGGCAGCAGATCTAGTAGTCAGGAAGCTACTAAAGAAGCAAGCCTTTCGGAGACTAGCGGAGAACAACAACACCAAGGGCTTTTATTCTCCTGTATTCCTAGTCCCTAAGAAGAATACGACCGACTTGAGGATGATAATCGACCTAAAGATCCTAAAAAAAATTCCTGGTTACTCCGTCAAAATTCCAGATGGAATCTGTACGGAAGTTACGGTCAATGTTTAAGACTAGAGACTGGCTCATCAGCCTCGATCTACAAGATACCAATCTTCACGTCCCGATACACCCATCATCACGCAAATATCTGCACTTTGTGATCAATGGTTGACGTTGCGAGTTCCAGGTTTTACCATTCGGGATATCAATAGCCCCTTGGCTATTCACCAGGTTTACAGCGCCAGTCACCTGGTTTGCCCACATTGAGCTAGTCCGAATCCATGGATACCTGGACAATTTCCTGGCTGCAGACCAAGAGGAAGCTCAGTTTCACCAGAACAGGATATTCTTGGTCCAACCTATGACCTTCCTAGGCTTCCTAGTCAATCCCTCCAAGTCCGAGACCTCTCCGGTTCAAGACATCATATACATTGGAGGAAGATTCCAACTAAACTAGGGATATCTATGGCCACCCGAGGATCGCTTCGTCAAGACTATCACGATGATTCAATTACTATCAAGTCAACCCAGCAAGTCATTGAGGTGGTGGATGTCTCTTCTAGGCAACTTAACATCTCTACAGGATATGACCTTCACAGGAAGGTTGATGCTACGTCCTCTACAGACATGGATCAATTCACTACGATCCCAAACCCTAGAATTCAAGACTCAATTACCTACCAACTTAGTAGGAGACCTGCATAGGTGGACCCACAGAGAGCATGTGATGAACACATCCCTCTGACTTATCCGACGCCCGAACACCATCTATTCACAGACGTGTCAGATTCGGGATGGGGAGCCCACATGGACAATCTCACTGTACAGGGATCTTGGAACAGGAGAGAAGTTCCTTTATATCAACTGCAAGGAAATGAAGGCCATCTATTATACCATCCTGGCATGGCAGATATGTCTATCTCAATCGATAATCCTCATAGCCATGGACAACACCGCAGTAGTGGCTTACATCCAGAAACAAGGAGGAACCAGATCCAGATCCCTGATGACGGAGACTTCACGATTGTTTGCCTTGGCAGATTCCATCAATTGCCGGATGGAAGCAAGACATATACCCAGGAAACTGAACATCCTTGCAGATGGCCTTTCCTGCCAGGAAAGAATAGTGTCAACAGAATGGACCTTGCATCCCCAGATCTTTGCTTGGATAACCAAGTTATGGGACACACCTCACCTAGATCTATTTGCCACCTGTCAGAACAATCAACTTCCGGTCTATGTCAGTCCAGTTCCCGACCCAAGAGCTCACCAGATTGATGCACTATCCATGGACTGGACGGGTATATATGCATACGTATTCCCACCATGGTCTCTCCTAGACTAGGTCATCCACAAGGTGGAGGAGACGGATTGCATGATAATCCTGATAGCACCAATCTGGCCCAGCAGGGCATGGTTCCCCAAACATCTAAGACTACTAATGGAAGAACCTATCCAGTTACCTCTCTGTCAAGATCTACGACAACCCAAGTCAAGAATTGTCCATGACAATCTGCCCAGCCTTCATATTACAGCCTGGAAGTTATCAGGCAGAAGATGCAGACATCGGGATAGTCTGAGCTTTTCTCGGAAGCTCTGGCAAGATCATGGAGACCTTCATCCTCCCTTTTATATGACACCAGATGGGACAAGTTCGTCCAGTGGAGAAGACGACAAGGGATTGTAACTAATGCTATATCCATCCCCATGGTTGCGGATTTTCTACTACATCTACGTCAGGACAATAAATTCCGACATGGGACGATAGAAGGTTACAGATCGGCTCTTCACTCTGTTCTACAACATGACAGACTCTCAATCGGAAATCATCCCATTCTAAACAGACTAATGAGATCCTTTCTACTAGAAGGTGTTGGCACACCTCGTATCTTTCCCAAGTGGAATCTATCTGTGGTACTATCAGCACTTTTAACAGAGCCTTACGAGCCCTTGGCTAAGGCTACTTTACTCCAAAAATCCAGGAATTATTCTAGTCTCACTCATGATCCACATTGGACCTCAATAAATCTGAGATCGCTCCTAGATTTCGTAGCCAAGAATCAATCAACCACAATGGGACCGCTAGGTCATAGACACTATACTATTCCTGCATTTTGTCCAACAGTGGATCACCCAGACAGACTTTTATGTCCCATCAGAGCCAACACCAGCAGCATCAGGATTACGAGTACACCCTTGTTTATCCCGTCTATTAGGTGTAGGATGGATTAGGAGCACCTTGAGTATTAACTGCCTCTAGTGACCGGAAGTGACGTCATCACCGGAAGTGATATCATAATCGGAAGTGACGTCAGCAGTACAAAGCCATCTAATCAGGAAATGATGTCTTTGGTAGAAATAGACCTTGAGAGATGTCCTTATCCAATAAAAGGAAGTGACAAACCGGAAGTGACGTCACAACCAGAAGTGACGTTTGCTTCGGTATTAGTGTCACAAATCAAAATATAACAAGAAATGACGTCATTGGGTAGGAATAGACCAGAAATGAATTCATTATTACCAACAAGATCAGCAAAAATTTGGTAATTCTAGTGAAAGTATCACATATTTGATCGATTCTTGAGACTTTCTGATTTTCAAGTCCTCAGGGGGTATTTCAAGGGTAAATTATCTCGAGTTAGGATTAGAATAAGAGAATAATGGTTTCCTGAAGAGATTACTGTCAATTACACAGGGAGTTACTAGAGGCAGATCCCACCGGGTAGAGGTAGAAGTTTCGTAAGAATTTTCAAACAATAGTTATTGTGAATAATTCTAAGAATACAACCTCTATTACATCAGAAGTACTCCCACCCACCTCCCCAATTCATCTACCTCTAGTGGCTAGATGTGGTAAGAAGTGAGGTTCCTGCCATTGCATATGTCATAGCTGATTGGTTATGATGCTATTGGGGAACAACCAGTTGTGTGTGATTGATAGGGAAGAGGACGTCTGTTGAAAATTTGAAAATTTTAGGTAGTGTGACTGAAGCAAAAGTACAGGATTTATGGCAAAGATGTAATGGAGGTAGTATTCTTAGAATTATTAACAATCATAACTATTGTTCGATGTTGACAGGGAAATAATGCAAAATAAGTAATGAGTGAGTGAGTGTGGCAATATTCCAGGAATATTATTCGGGGGACACACAAAATAGGCTTCAGACATTATATTGTGCCCATGCGGGCAACATAAGTAGAGAGGCTTGTATTAATTATATTTACACAAAATTATACGTTCTTCTTTCATATTTGTTATTGCTGAATATTATTAAACAAGAAATATTTGAATTTCATTTGATATGGTATTGTCATTTTTTAAATCATAAACTGTATGTAGATTAGCTACAGTGTAGTTGCACTATATTCTCTACTTTAAACTCCACATCTAATACATTTTCACAAATTATATATTTCACTATATTTTCAAAATAATTATTTTGTAATGTGTGATTTCAGTTCAATATGAAGACGGAGGAAACAATGAAGCAGCTGTTGAAAATAAACAGAAACACAGACGACCTATGGAAAATAAACTGAAGGATCACATTAACGATAAGAGCGACAGAGGGAGAAAGAAGCATCGCAATATGTCCAGGCATCACTCTGAAAATCGTCATACTCAACCATCAGGGTCAAGTTCCAATTCAGAGGGTGAAGTAGCTGAATCTTGCGATAGCTGCCAATCAAGCTTGACTCAGTGCAGCTCAAGCTCACCATTTGAAACAAATAGTATTAGTAGTAAGAGTCATGCAGCATCAGAACCTGATAATGACATCATTACACATGAAAGCAAGATGGAGAAACAACATTCAGATAACAATGATGACTCATCATGCAGACCTGATTCCACTTTTGATGTCCTTCCACATGAACTAGTGTTAGGTCCCCATGACAGTTTGACTGCAAGGCTGAAGGAACATGAGGAAAGGCTGAAGAAACTGCAGAAACAATTGCAAAATCAGGACCTGAAACATAGAGAAGAACAGGAGGTTTTTATTTCCATTTATATTACTAGTTTAAGTACTTGATTGTTTTTTTTCTTTGTTGTTTAACACCACACTCAAGCAATATGATGGTTCAACTGCTTGAAGACCAGTTGAGCTCATTTTAAAAAAACATATCAATTTCACATTTGCACATTCCTGGTTCTCATTAATTATATTTCTTTAAACCATTCATATACATACCAAGGATGAAAGTAGATATTTTGCAACATTAAACACAACTATTATCATCTCAAGGGCATTTTCAATTCCAAGATTGTGTGAATTATTGTTCCTACATTTACAAAATGAATATTTGGTTTGTCATTGTGGACATTTCTGTATAATGACAATATTAGTCTTCGGTATATAGCTGAAATAATGCTGATGCGACGTTAAATTTTAACTCACTCACTTTACTTATAATTATAGATTAGTAAATAAAACATTCTGCAGTTTTGCCCCAATCATAAGTTGCTGGAAGGTTGTCATCATTCCAAAACTGTAATTGACATAATCCAAACAGGAAGTACTATTAACTTCGCTTTATAATGACCTACAATCACAGGAATTTATGTTTTAATGTTTCATAGTCCAGTACAAACTGTTGATAAGTTCTCATTAAACACTATAAAAAAGCCAACTGAAATCAACCTTTGGGGAAAATTATTTTGAGACTGTTCAGTGTTCCTCATGATCATGGCAGCACATAATTAAATGAATGACTAGAAACAAAGTGAATAATATTCATTTGGCACCTTTATCTGGTAGATACTGAAAAAGGCTAAATATACTGAGACTGAAAAGTAATACAGCACCCGTTTTCAACAAACGTATGTCCAGGTTGAGCTTTTATGTTTCAATCCATTATTTTTGAAGATGTGAAGTGTGATGATATGACCAGAAGTGACATCATAAACCACATATGACATCATGACAAGTAGTATAGGTAATGGGGATTCTGGACCACTTCCACTGGAGCCAGATTTATATACCTATACCTATGCTACTACAGAGGGAATGATGATGCAATTCAATGATCGTCATGAGACTAAACTAAATTGTAATGAAAATATTCTCTATTATTTTTACTCATACGCATACCATTATTTTGAACAAAGTGATATTCAACATTTTTTACAAAGTTCTTCGTTCATTTTACTAGGAGACCAGACTATATACTCTTTTTCGAAATTGGAAAGAAACAACTGATGACCGTATTTGGTTAGTTTGACATCACTGATAAAATATATACCCTGTGGTAATTCTCGCCATTTGATTGGCTTGTAATTCTCCATTATTATATACTTATGTAAGCATTCGTTTAAATTATTGTATTTTTATGAGGTGTGATCCAACGATAGGAAACAATCTATTTTCAATCTCCAACCAGTTCTTTGGTTTTGGCACGGAATAATTGACGCGCTTGTTGTCTTCCCTGTTCTATGAACTTTTTTTTCTCATCTTTGCTAATACCACTGGTCTTACGAGAATTTGATCGAATCTCCTGCTTCATTGCGTTATATTTGGTTAGTTCTAACAACACTAAACGAAACTCATCCTTGGATATCTTACAATCAGCCATTGCTGTTGAAATATTATCCTTAATGCTATTCAACTTTGCTTCGGCGAGTATCCAAATATTATCATGTTTTAATGCTTTCTTTTGCAACTTACAGGAACTAAATTTGATCGATATTCCTGCCAGTCCTGAGACTCCAGCTGCTACTTCCATACCAAGTACGATATGCGTGGCGATTATAGTTGATAATAAACCAACACCGGCTACACCAAGTCCCATGCCAGCCATTACAAGCGCAATGTCAACTCCATCGAGAGCATTAACGGCTCTACGATACTTTTTATACAATCAAGTCTCAACTCCCTCTCCTTCTCTATTCGATGTTTTATGTCACTTATTTGATGTAATCGAAATCCATCAACAGTATCCATCTTTTCAGATGCTTCATCAAGCACCGGATATAAACCCATAATGTATTTTATTATATCATATATTTGTCTTTAATTGGTCTTGCTTACATGTTTTGAGAGTATACATCAACCTTATCAAATGTATATTATACGGCATAAATATTTTAGTAAGAGAAATGCTTTTACCTTTATTAACTTGGACCCCTCAAGGGATGCTCCCATATAAATAATACTGCAATGTTGACACTCGTGTTTCTTAAGCCATTTAATTGATAGACCTGGTAATATTTCAAGGGCATCTTCTGGTGCATCTCCAAACAAGACTTCAATAATAAGTGTAGAAAGATCAGGTACAGCATTCAAGTTATTTTTTATATCATTGAATTCAGTAACCAAATTTAAACTGACATTTTTTAATGATGGACGACTCAATAACATATGACCTGGGTTTTCTGGCAGGGGAGCGACTAACACACTTTTGTTTTGAGGGGATATAAGCCCCGAGTATGATCCCACTATTCATTATCTTAGTTTAATGATGTCCCTTACCCGTCATCACATATGGTGGGGCAATGATGATATTCAGCAGCCACTCGATTTTTGCTTCAACCATAGTCCATTCATTATCATCATTGCGAATAAGATTGTATGAACTGTTTTTATTGAGTCTACTAATGTCGACATCACTTAAATCTCCTAGATTAGCTGTGTATACAACTTCTTTCCGCTTGTATACATTATCTTGTACCATCGGTACTGGGTTTATCGAACCCTTCTGTGTCTCCAAGATCAGAAAGCGCAATTGTATTACATTGTCTAAGGTTATGCGTTCCAGGGCCTGATGAATCAACCATTACTTATAATATGGAGTGTTACACTCAAGTATCCTATATGTACAGGTTGATGTTTTACATCTAATACCGAAATTTTGTGGTCTGAAATAATACCCCGCTTTCACTTTTTATATTGTAATGAGAGATTCTGTTCCACCGCTATTATATTTTTCATCTTTCACTGGAATAGCTCTTAGCAATGTTGAAGGACTTTCGAGTTGAATATTATCCGTTGGACTGATCTGATCAAGATGGATGCACAACTCTTTATAGGGAACAAATTTTCGTTGGGTGATACTTTTCCTCTTCTAAATCCAAGTTTAGCTGCTATGTTCGGGATAAGAATTACATCCTTTTCTCCAGTGTTTAAAATCTGCATCCCATTCGACTCATTTTGTGTGAGACTAACTCCCAAATGCTTAAAAATTTCATCATTGAGTGAGCATAGGCTGTAATACCCATCAGGTATAATGATGGGTTTGATTCTACTATTGGTTTCAATTAGTAATAACTCATTATTTCTTCTCGCAAAACTTATATTGGTCCACCTCGGGTAATACATTACATCGCAGAGAGCGACTTCAAGTTGCCCAGCTGAGTTATTGATGCAGTTGAATAGACTTGCCATTTGTTATTCCTGGGAGTGTAACATACATATTAAATATACAAAGATACTATATCATAACTTAAATATGAAATCAACTTACATTACGAATCAGTCGATTTTAGTAAGTGCCTCTGGTGCGAAGTCAGCGATGATTTACTGAAAAGAGGTCGGCTTCACCCGAGCTTTGCTCTCTCGAGTAATGAGTGGAGAGGCGATCCTATGAACTTTAAGGGTGATGTTGCTTTCACCGTCCAAAAGGTTGAGCAACCACCTGGAAATGCTTGGAATGAATTTCTTAATGATAAAACAGAAAATAATTTTACTAACCCAGGAGTTGTAAGAGTTAATGAATCAATAAGAACTTATGTATGAGCAATTCTTGGTGCACAATCGCAAACACGAACGGGAATAATCAGTTCTGGGATGGCGCTCGATGCACAAAAACAGTTTGTCGCAAACGTAGAGAATGCTATTAATTTAGACTACGTTTATGGGGCAGGACTTTACATGTCTCCGAGTAATATGGAACTTAAGATCGGCCAAGTGATCGGCTATAACAATAAAGTTGTGGTTGCTACCGATCAACAAAAAACAGGTATAAATTCAGATATTAACACAGAATTAATAACGCAAACAAACACAGGCATAAGGGGAATAGTCAAGCCGCAGTCACCGAGACATCCATCTACTGACGCACAACCACAACAGCCACATATTGCAGCTAAAAATCAACAACATATCGATGAAAAAACAGCGCTTATAGTAGGTGGAGTCGCGGCTGGTTTACTCATTATTTGGATAAATAGACTTTAACGGATAAGTACAACAGCCCAGCAATTGCTACGATCAGTGCCAACAAGTTTTGAATAAGCCAAGTGGCGGTCTTTGCTAATAAATTCAAGAGCCAGGAAACAATACTCCCTATTATATCGGGAAGTGCAGATGCGGCTTTCCCAGTGCTTCTCCTAATGCTTTTAAATGCTTTTTTATCCACTCTTTTACACCATTTTTATCACTAGGCGGTGTGGGTGGTGAGGGTGGTCCACCTTCACCGGTTAACACGAGAGACAAAGTCGATATGATAAATCCCAATGCGGTTTAAAGACTGGCAATGGTTATCCCCTGTTCTCTGAACAATGTTTTAGTTTTATTGGCCAGTGTAGTATCATCGTTTAGGACTTGATCGATAGTTTCTCGGATTTGTGAACGAAGTGCCTTTCTATTACTCGAGGCCCGCTTCGCGCATTCTTCCAAATTATCCTTATCTATGGCACCCAGTTCAGTACGCACAGTCTGAAGAACCTTAGTAGTCTTCGGAGGAAGTTTTGCTTGTGAGTAGTCTACAAGACCTAATTCATTACGAATAATGTTGACATCCGGCTATCGTAGACAAGGCTAGGGGCTTACGAGTACAAGAATGCATAAGATCAATATCCGGAGATCCATGCAGTCGCAATATTCCTGTACTATCTATTGTAAACTTTGAATAGTCACGTCCAATTGGGGTAATATATTTTTTGTCTTCTTTTAAGTCATCGTAGTAATCATTAACGGTTGATTTCAAAAGTTCATCGTTAAGATTCATGCCACCAAAGCTGGTTTCATCAGTACCCTCTTCGATTGTACTAGTATCA